CAGGGTCCTGGGATCGAGCCCCACATCGGGCTCCCTGCTCAGCGGGAAGCCTGCTTCTCCCGCTCCCTCACTTGTATTCCCTCTCTCGCTGTGTCTCTCTCTGTCAAATAAATAAATAAAATCTTTAAAAATAAAAAAAAATAAAAAAAAAACCACACCTTCCTGGTTCTCCAGAGAACTGGGGAAAAAAGCCCCAAATCAGTTACTAGTCAAAGACCTCTCCAATTTGGGCCCGAGATATATTACCAGCTTTAGCCCTCATCTGTCCCAAATGTATCTTACACTCCAGACGTACCTGTCTACCTGCTGGTCCCCAAATACCCCATCTATTCATGACTTCTCCACGTGGAAGGTCCTCCCTGCCCCTGACTGCTTGGCTCAAGCCCCAGATTCCCTCGGCCAGAGCGTGTCCCTTCTGCCCCAACTCCCGTAGCACTTTACTCTTCCTCTGTCATAACACAGACTACAGATTATCTCGTGTCCATGGACTCATTTACATATAGGTGTCCTCTGCTGCCCTGTGACCGTCAGGGGCAGGGTCCCTTCTGGCTCTTGCTGCCCACAAGCACCTACCATAGGATTTTATACACTGGGGTATTCAATAGAAGTTGCTGAGTTATCGGCTGCAGAACTTACCCTGGCAAGGTCCAGGTCTGCCTGCTTCCGGTGTCTCCAGAAGGTGACTGAGGAGCGTGAATGTGGCCGGATCACCGGCTCACCGTGGACCAGCAGCTTCACAAAGACGCTCAGGACAATCACACCATTTATCAGCCATAAGAGGAGCGTTGGCATCATCCAGTCAAACCAGCCCCCAGAACCTAAAGAGGGACGTCTCAGCTGAGCCCATGGGGAATGGCCTCCGGGAGCAGCCCTAGGGGACTGCAAACCACCTGACTGACCCCCAGCATCTGACAGGTTAGAAGCCTTCTACCTCATTTTCAGAAGAAGCGTGGATAACAAGATTGCTTCATTTAATAACAATGTCTAAATGCTTTAGATAGGAATAAGACATAACCTTAATCCACACTATAGGCAAATTTGGGACGGTTCTGTAGCCTAAATAGGAACCCTGTACTCCTTGTCATTATGGAGCTAGGTGCCACAGCTAGATAACAAAGATAATAAAAACCTTTATTAGTCAAGGTGGGGTGAGACCATTAGTTACACAACTCGGGCAAAAATATCACATCCTCCTTCAAAAAGGTACACCTTTCCTCCCCATATCCCCAACCCCTATAATAATAGTAGTGTGGGTTCCTGATTTCTTTTGTCCTTACTGACTGAACTCGGGCCTGCCCTGTTACTTCCAAAATGTGACTTACGCCAGTTCCTAGCAGGCCTGCTACAAAAGCCCTCTGGGACCTGGTGGACAAGCCGAGCAGTGTGCACACATAGGGCCTGTCTCCTACCACAGCAGGCCACCCATGCTTGGGTGGTTCGACAGGCCCTCTACCTACCTGACTCAAGTGACAGGATGCTGCGGCCGGAGCCCGAGTATGGGTGCTGGTCAGAGCTGTGGGCCCCTCCCCACTGCAGCAGGGCAGTCAGGGGGTTAAAGGAGAGGCAGAGGAAGGTGAGGACACACAGCAGAATTCGAGAGCGGTCCACCATGCCCAGCGCTACGGGAGGAGAGTCCGGCTCATCCTTGACCTTCAAAACAGGGCCAAGAGGTTAGAATGAATACTGCGTGGGTTTTGTTTCTACAGCGTTTTACTTTTATATGTATTGGAGTCAGATTGTGAGATTTAAATTCAAGACTACGAAGTCAGATAGGAAGAGAGCCAGGAGGCAAGAAGCCCACAGCTCTCCAGATGCTTCTCAAACACTGGCATATCGTCCGTCCTCTTGCCACCTGGGACAAGAACATGTTCTGAAGACCAAAGGTAGATGAGTCCTGCTTATAAGATAGAGCACACAGGAGAACATTCTCCATGATTCTGTAGAATTCCACAACAGGCAAGCTAATCTAATCTAAAGTGACAGAAAGCAGATCAGTAGTTGTCTGAGGCTGGAGAGGGATATGTGAACTACCTGCCACAGTGTATGAAGGAGCTTTGTGGGTGATGGAAATGTTCTGTATCTTGATTACAGTGATAGTTACATGAGTGTATACACTTGTTAAAACTCCTCATACTGTACGCTAGTACTTTATGCTACTGTAAAATAGCTGTTTTATCTCATGTAAATTAAACATCAGTAGAACTGATTACAGACCATACAACTGGGGCGCCTGGGTGGCTCAGTTGGTTAAGCTTCTGCCTTTGGCTCAGGTCATGATCTCGGGGTCCTGGGATGGAGCCCTGCATCGGGCTCCCTGCTCAGTGGGGAGTCTGCTTCTTCCTCTCCCTCTGCCCACCTCTCTCCACCTTCCCCACCTGAGCTCTCGCTCAAATAAATAAAATCTTAAAAAAAAAAAAAGACCATACAACTTCAGTATGAATCTATTTACAGGAGTTTGCCTGTTGTAAAACTGTAACACTGCTTTTTTCCCCCTCTCCGTCTTATAGAGGGAGGACTGGAGGCAGAAGCCCCGCCTGCCCAGGGTGCCGCCCACAGAGAAGCAGGGAGGAAGGCTGGGATCAGATCTCCCGACTCCCAGGGCACACATACTACAGCACTCCTTTTCAGTATTTTCTTTTTTAAAGATTTTATTTATTTGAGAGAGAGAAGAGAGAGAATGAGCAGTGGGGAGGGGCAGAGAGAGAAAAGCAGACTCCCTGTTGAGCAGGGAGCCTGATGTGGGGCTCAATCCCAGGACTCCGAGATCATGACCTGAGCCGAAGGCAGACACTTAACCAACTGAGCCACCCAGGCGCCCCTCCTTTTCAATATTTTAAAGCCATCTGAAAATTTCTTATGATGACAGATGCCTAGCTAATTCAATGTATATATTATATGGCCTTCTGTTCCCAAACAGAATCACATTTATAAAGTATTTCAAAAATAGAGCTTTGTCAGTAAAATTAAGTACATGACACCACAAAGTTTGATCAAAAACTTAGGCTAGAAGGGAAGTTTGTGCTTTTGAAGTCAGAAATTGCCAGTAGCCTCCATGGATTCCCAGGGCTAGATCATTAGGCTCAAGCCTCTTTTGGCTAATTCCATTAAACCATAATTGCCAGGGGCTTTCTTTGACGATTAAAGGCCCTTGGTTGGAATGTTATTTGTCAGACTGCAAATTGCAATCATTTCCAGAAGAGGACCCAGAGGCAGCCTTGCCCTAAACCGACTAAACAACCTCAAAAAATGGTCTTGCCAGGCCCATTATGAGTGAGGGATGTAATGAGGCGCCTCCGGCAACTCCTAGCACCCGCATGACAGCTGCTGTGTGTTCCCGTTCTGGATTCGGCCCGGATTCCTCTCAGATGGGCTCTTTCGGCAAGGACCAGTTAAATTGGACTACACTGAACCAGTTAAGCGGATTTTGTGGAGGACGCAGTAGGACCTATTCTCCATCCTTGGTCCTCTCAACGCCTGGCTGGGCCCCCTATCGGCAGCTTCTCCACAGTTAAGTTAGGAGAGATGGGACAGATTCCAGGGGTCAGAGGATTTCAAAAGCTCATACCTTTGCATCATCCAGCAAAGGGCTTCCTGGCTCCGAGTCGATGGAGTAGGGGGAGAAGCCAGCCTGGGAGCCTGAGTCGGAGGCCGGAGGGGACATCAGAAGGACATTCTGATTAAAGTCATCGATCTTCAGCTCCACATCATTGTCCACCAGGCTCCCCAGGTCGATGCCCTTCAGGAGCTCTGCAAAGAAAACCGCGTCTGGCCATGGTCTGTTTCTCCAGAGCCCCCACCTGGGTGCCTGGGCCAGGGCTGGGCTGGGGGAGGGGCCCACGGTCCTTGCTCCTGTTTCACCCGTGAAGGCACCTTGGACACATCAGTGGGCCCTCCCCAGTGCCCAGCACAGGACTCCTACAACCACAAGGTCTGATAACCCTTCTTTCAATGAGCACACTCACTGTTTTTCTGATTTGCCAGCTTCAGCACCATGTTCTCCTGGCGTAGTTTATGATTGACCTGCTGCAAGTATTTGATGTAGTCGATGGCCTTCCTCAGGACGCCAGACTTGTGCATCTGGGAAGGAAGACGGGTGAAAACACAGGGGCATCACTGCAGGCTGCTCAGTGAGAGGGTTGAGGCCCAGAGCCTGTGGGGTGAAAGCATGGCTCCGGGCTGAGAGGCTGGCTTGCTCACTGGCTAGCTGTGCTACCCAGGACATGTTACTCAAAATCTCTGAACCTCACATTCCTTGTCCTTAAAATGGGGATGATGATGATATATGATCACAGCGTTGCAGTGAGGACAAAATGAAATAATACACATACAGAGAGTAGCCACCCCCTCCCCCAGTCTGGTGCATAGTGACACTCGATAAATATTAGCTAGTACTCCTCTTTCTTATAATAATCCTAGAACCAAAACAAACTTTACAGAAAGCAAACGACAAAAACCCAGAGCATTGTTGGATAACTATCTTAAGGAAAGTTCTAATAGCACGTTTCAGGTCTATAGGCTATAAGGAAAATAAAATTTTCTTCCAAAATAGAGATGATGAAGATAAACAGAAAACAGGTTAAAAAAAAAAAAAATCTATGTGACAGAAGACACATTCACTGAAATACCCGAAATAATGAACAATCTATTTCCTCTATTTGCTGTTGGTTAAAGACCCAATCTCTATTTTCTCTCTTCCCTAAAAGGTAAAAATATTGCTAACCACCCATGAACACAACTAAACATATGTCAGCAACACCACCAGCCGACTCCAGAGTACACACAGTCCTGCACCTGGCCGCAGTGAGCAGGACGCATCCCTCTGCCTGTGCTACTGGGATCCGTGATCACCGCAGAGCAGAGTCAAAGGTCCAGGCAGGACGCTGCATTACCAACCCCCACTAGTTCCCTAATGTTGGTTAATATTTTATAATCTTGAAAAAACAAAAACAAACCCAAGATGCTTTAAATAAGAAAGCACCTCGGGCGCCTGGGTGGCTCAGTTGGTTGGGCGACTGCCTTCGGCTCAGGTCATGATCCTGAAGTCCTGGGATCGAGTCCCACATCGGGCTCCCTGTTTGGCAGGGAGTCTGCTTCTCCCTCTGACCCTCCTCCCTCTCATGCTCTCTGTCTCTCAAATAAATAAATAAAATCTTTAAAAAAAAAAAAAAAAAAAAGAAAGCACCTCTAACCATCCTTATGTTCACTCACTTGGACCTGGGTTTTCCTAAATTCCTACAGCAAAGACAGGTAGAGGGGAGATGGTGGCACGTGAAATACCACGTTGCTGGGCTCCCACCTTGGCATCTGTCCCCATGACCAGGTCCTTCAACTCGATGATTTTGTCATTGATAGAGGAGCGATACCGCTTCTCAATGATGTTGTGTGTCGTCCGCCTTTCTCCTTCTTTGGGGGGCTCCAGCTGCTTGACTCCCCCAGGTACCTGCTTAATGGGCACTTTCTCTTGCCCCATCATCACAGGCATTGTGGTCAAAATGGTCCCATTGCTGCCCACCAGAGTCTAGAACAGGCAGAGACACAGGGCAGAATTACCCCGTGGTTAGTCTGAGTAAAGCAATCCCAGAACACAAACCTGCTGGCCCTGGCCATGCAGCATTGCTCCGCTGACACCCTTCGTGGCTCAGTCAAGTCAGGCCCCATGAGGCCTCAGGAGCCACGGTATCTGAGTTCCCCTTCAGAACCACTGTCAACAAATCACACCACAATGGGATTAACGTGGGTAAATAGGTTTTAACCTTTGATCTAAGGGTACCCGAAACAAGTCATAGGACTTCTGCTTTGCTGGCAAATCATTAGCCACCTCTGAGCTCGCATACAATGTACCATATCATTCTGGCCCCAAGGAGAGCTTCCTCCTGGTGCAGGATACATCTTTTCCTCTCACGTGACAGTGAAGTCACTTGCTGCATTTCCTTATATAATTTGGCCATCAAAAAGCATAAGGGAAGAACAGATAGAGCCATTCTATTAGATAAACAGACCAACTGTAGAGGCTCCCCCTTTTCTCCTCAACTCTGCTTCCCCCTGTTTCTATTTTTACTAATTTTAGTTTTATTTTCTTCAATAAATGGCCAATGAACATCATTAACCATTAAGAAATAATTCTCACATAATAAAAAACACGCATTTTAAATGTACAGCTTGATGCATTTTTACGTATGGATATCATGTGTGTAACCAAGATAACCCAAACCAAGATACAGACCATTTCTATCTCCTTAGAAAGTTCTCTTGTGCCTCTTCCCAGTTCTGCCTGCCCCCTCCCCCTCTTGTGATCACTGCTCTGACCTCTATCACCATAGCTTAGTTTTGCCTCTTCTTGAACTTCATATAAATGGCATCCTCAGCATTAACTCTTTTGTGATAGGCATCTTTTGCTAGTATGCAAACATACTATTTTTGAGGTTCAGCAGTTATATATATATCAACAGTTCTTTTTGGACATGTGGGTTGTTTCCCAGTTCTTGGCTCTTATGAATAAAGCTTACTTTCAAATTCTGATCACCTTTTACTCTATCAGACTCTCTTGCCGTAAGATGCTGAAGCGGCTGTGACCCTGCAGCCCAAGTATGGGGCCTTCCATGTCCCCCACCTTGTAGCCCCTCCCTACCTGGTGGGCCTAGAGTCCTTCAGAAGCCAAACCTCCATCAGCAGGACCTAGAGGCAGACAGCCCTGTGTGGAGCCACTGCCTAGGAACCGGGGGATCCTCTGCTATTCCTCTCTCCTCCCTCATAGTCCCCAGATAACATGCATTGATGGTACTTCTCAAGGGGGGAAAAAAAAAACCCTAAATGGGGGTGATATTTGCAATCTGACACATTCCATAGAAGTTCTACATCGACCCACTCTGTAGAGATTTTAACATCTCAGGGGCCTAACACCTCCAAGAAAGGAGAGGGTGGAGGGAGGAGGGCAGGGAGGAAGATGGCTCTTACTGGTACTTGAAGGGCAGCTGTCTGGATGGGGGTGGTGAGGGCGGTGAGGGCTGGGTTCTGGACTGCGGCCATGACAGGGCTGCCATCTGTCTTTAGTGTGGTCAAAACAAGGGAATCTGTCTTGATGATCTGAGGCTGTACCAGGACCTGGATGGAGAATGAAGAAAAGTAAAAAGGAAGGCAGTATTATTTTTCTATTTTGCCTTAGCTTCTTACTACACAGACTTCCTCCAGGAAAGAATGAAAAAATAACATTTTCCTAAAACCGAGAACACAACTTGATGACGGCATTGAGAGGGAGAAAGAGTATAGCTAAAGGGTCTTGCATTTTAAGGTTGGAAGGCTTTGAGAAGAGCAATGCCAGGGCCTGGCAGGGGCAGAGTGGGGGGACAGAGGACAGGAAGGAGATCTGATTTTGGATAAAACTCAGGAAAGCCAGGAACATGGCTGAGAAACAGAAAGGAAACACCTGGATTTTTTTTTTCAAAGATAAATGACCTTGTTAGTGAGAAACTACAGTCCACTATAATACGTGATTTAAAAACATTTTGGCATATCTCCAGTTTTATGCCCATTCTATGTGTAAATCGAATAATCCACCTACACTGACTGAGTCTGCATGAGGGCCCGTGCACATCCACAGAGACCACCTCAGCCAGGTCTCCACACCCAGCTCATGGGTGTCTCGCAAGGCCCAGGCACCTCAAACGCTGCTCCTTTACACGCTGCTGGTCCTTCTAGTATGTAGACCACAGCTTCAACCAAAGACCAGCCCCCAGCCCCCACCAGTGCCTCCCCGGCTCCTCAGCAGCCACCTACCGGGACCTGCTGCACCTGGGGGGCGGCGACTGTCTGCACCGTGGCCGGGGCGAGGGTCTGCAGCGTGCCATTGGCGGTCTGCGTCAGCACCCGCTGGGCCTGCACCGTCTGCACCTGCTGCTGGATGGTGACTGGCTGCACCTGGGAGGATGTCACTAGGCTTTGGACTTGAGGCTGAAGGACTTGGGAGAAGAGGAGGGAAAAGTCACACAGATGAGGAATGCATTCTGTCATTGTAGCTGCAGTACCAACCGAGGATGGGGTGCCTCAGGACAATCCCGACTCCCCACCTGCTGCTGAAGAAGATGTGCACAGCCACTTACAGGCTGGTCTAGATAACAAGAACATTCCATGAGGGCTGCATCAATTTCTGAGGGAATGAGAACAGATTATTTTATTATTCTGGGTGCTGGGGTGAAGGTGAGGGGAGCTAATCGGCACGTGACTGCACCCAGCAAGGGAAGTCAGAGACACAAGGAACCAACAATTCCACCGGGCTTCATTTCTTCTCGTGGAAGGAACAGAGAGTGCACTCTGGGATGACTGTCTCAGCTTCTTGCTTTGCTGCCTCTCCGCAGCCTCTAAACCCTCAGAAGCCCACCGAAGAACCGTCAGATCCTTTGAGCTTGAGAGGCTCCTGGCCGCACAGGCACGGGGTGTTAACGACACGGGAAGTCACTCACTCACTCACTCAGCACACACGGAGGGCCCGCTGCAAGGCCTGCTGCATGGAGCCGGAGCACCTGCTCTAGGCCATAGTCTGTGGTGGCTGCTCAGGAGACGTCTGCCGAATGAATGGCTCTCAACCTGTGGGATCTGGCTGGTGTCTGGGTAAGTCTCCGGGCCCATTTTACTCAAGCCTCTAACCCTAGTTACCAGCACGGCCCTGTGTCTACTCTGCTTATTCGATTCTTTGACCAAGTATCCTCGAAGCAGGCACAACAGATCCTAGGCTGTCTGAGGAGCCAGAGCGTGAGCTGTTCCTGTACTACCGTCCCTGCTGCCAGTGACCCCCAAACTCCTAAGACTCTGTCATCCCCAAAGAGGGCAGAACCGTCTACCTCACAAGTGTCTGCAAACTGGCACAGAACCTTTTGAACAAACGAATCACTATCCTGTCTGACTTCTGAATCACCTTGAAAGCTGGTCGCCGCATTCTGGTATATCAAAGGCTGCTGGATGATCCTCGTCTGCGGAGCGGTGCTGAACGTCGGGGTGATCATCACCGTCTGCTGCTGCAGCTGGGCCTGGGGCTGGGGCTGGGGGCGGGGCTGAAGAACAGGAGCTGCCCGCGGCGGGGTGGGCACCGTGCTGGGGGGAACCTTGACCTGCAGGGCTGGAGCCTGGGGGGAAGCGGCCGAGGGAGAGAAGGCAGGTAAAGGGACCTGGCTGAAGGACCGCTGCTGCATCGAGGGGTCCCCGGCTCCGCCTCCCCCATTGCTGCCCCCGCCGCCACCGGGAAAGGAGCTACACAGCTGCTCTGGAAACAAGTCCGGGAACTCTCCAACTTGATTGCTGACAAACTGCAGCATCTCTGTGAATACACAAAAAGGAGTAATTTTATTGCCATCCAAAATATCCATCAACTTTCAAATTTGCTTAAGAAACGGAGGCATGCAAACCAAAAGGCTTTCCCACGACCATAGCAGAAATGGGTCAGGAGACCCTCACCAACCTCTCAGGAGGAGAACCACCTGGGCTCAGACGGCCAACCAAGGGACAGGTGAGAGGACTTCACGTCTTTGATGTTCTCTCTCCACACCCTACCTCCAGGCCCTTTCTACCAACTTTCCTGATTATATCAGGCTGAACAGGAGCCACCTCTGTGCTAGGTTGAGTATTGCTTTTGGAGATTGCTGCTGGTCTCATTTTACAACTGGAGACCCTGGGGTGGAAAGTGGGGAGTCGCTGTCCTAAGGCTTCTGAGCTCAGTAGCCTCAGGTGTGAAGCCACCTCCAATCTCAGCACTGCTCCCCCGGACAGAGCAGGAGTGTGGGAGTCAGGAGGGTCTGGCTGCGAAGTTGTGCCAGACCCTAATCGGCTCTCACCCCAGGCAGCCTTCCCTCCTCACCACAGGCAGGCCCTGGGCCTTCTCTCCGAAAAGGACATAGCCCTGGGCACTGTTGGTACCCTCAGGAACATTCAGGGATGATGAAGTTGATGGCCTCCGAGTCATGGAACTTTAGGGATGGAGCGGATGGAAAGATCAGAATCAAAGTCCAGAACAGGGAAATAACTTGGCCAAGGTCCTGCAGCTCATCAGGGCACAGTGAGGATTAGAACGCCCAGCTTCATGTTCTTCCTCTGCACCACAGTACACTCACTGCTAGAAGGCTGGGCCAGAGCAACCCCAGCCCTGGACTCCGCGCTCTAGAGGGCTGGGCCCCTTTGGGCAAGGAGTCTGTGGGACCCGGGGGATGTGTCCACCTGGAGACCATGGCCCCCTTCTAGATTATGTTCCAAGTACCTGGGACCCCTAAGTTCCCAGCCCAAAGGGCCTTAAGCCTGCCCCCAGGGCTTCTTCCCCAAGTTCATCCTCCCTGAAATTTACCAAAACCCAACTTATTCCATAACTAAAACTCATCTCTTATAACTCCTGCCTCCCCACAGGGCTGGTCCCCATTAGAAGTCTGGGGCCTCAGCTTTGTCGCAGCTATTTTCAGACCTACAGTTCTTCATGTTGCTTCCATTCCCTCCCCTTTCCTCTCCAACACATTCCCAAGAAGCTACTGCTTGTTCCTGAACGGTACACCCTTCTCTCTAAACATTCAAGGCCACACGATGCTCTGATTTAGCCACCAAAATACCCCAAACCAAAAACAAACCAAAAACAAAAAACACCACCTCTTTTCATTCCCCCAAACCTCCACCAGCAAGTCCCTCCCACCCTCCCAGGTCTCTAACAGACGTGTGTGTGTATGTGTATGTGTGTGCACATGCATGCACATACACACATGCCAGTAGTGGGTCTGGGCTACGAAGTCTTATGTTAGGCAAGCAGAAAGCTACTGGGGGTTTCTAGGGTAACCATACAGGGCGACTGAAGCTTAACAGTTCAGTACTTCCAGTATTCCATCAGTTCAACCTACTGGCAAAACAGCATCTTGTAAGATCAAAGATTACACTAACTGTGTAGTGGTATTATTTACCAACACCTCAACACTCTGCTGTGTCCCCTCGACACTCAGCCGGCTGTGTGTGGGAAGGAGAAATGGGCACATTGCCACAGATATTGTAACTGGTACCAACCAATTCCAATTCCTTGTACGTGATTAAACTAAGAAATGTCCTTAAAATCAGCACAAAATTCAAACAAAACACACTTTATTGCTGACACGGTCCAAGTACAACACAAGATTTATAAAACAGTTTAAGGAAAAGCTTTAAGAGAAAGCTAATATCTGCTGAGCTTTCCAGAATTCCCATAAAATTCTTACTCTGGGGAATCAGAACATCACTCACTGATTGACTGTTTTAATCCATGGAACGCTAAGGAGCACATAAGGGAACAGAGGCCAGAGGCCTGGAAGATGGGCACGGGCTTCGGTACTAGCTGGGTCTCAAGACGCCGCCTACCCAGCTGTGTGAACGTGGGCAAGCCACCTCTCTACATCCTGGTTTCCTCCCCACAAAAGGCTGCCTTAAGAATACTTGGCTTCTGGGGCACCTAGGTGGCTCAGATGGTTGAGCGTCTGCCTTCGGCTCGGGTCATGATCCCAGCATCCTGGGATCGAGCCCCGCATCGGGCTCCCTGCTCAACGGGGAGCCTGCTTCTCCCTCTCCCTCTGCCCCTCTCCCTGCTCATGCTCTCTCTCTCTCTCT